AGATGCTTGTTTTGGGCAGCGGTGAAAATTGTGAAAATCGACAATTCGAAATGTTGGTAAAATTTCATGAAAGTGCACTTTTGCCTTGCTGTTTGATATGTTTTTAATTTTTTGTTTTGTTTTTTGTTTTACAATAAGTTAGTTAGAAGTGCACTCTACAGATTGGTGCGAAGTATGGTTAAAATGACCCTTTGTTTTTTTGTATAAATGGAGGTGAAAAATGGGGGGTCGGTTAACCTTCTGTCCCAAACAAACCATAAAAAATATCTAAATGGAACTCCTGACTACTACTTAATTATGTGAAGCCTCTTTTGTATCTTTGTCACCAAGTTTTAACTAAGTACTAAGTGGACGAATCACCTGTACCCCTAAAAACGGGGTTGGGGGGAAATCCCAACCCAGATTCCAAAAAAACTCGACACTCCCTCCACTGGTCATGTCCTTGCTGCCTGTCTACTGCGATCTTTCCAGAAAGACCGAAGGCAACTGAGTACATCAGGTTGCTGGAACCACGAGTAAACAAGGGAAGCCCAAAGTAGGCAGTTTAACCCGGAGGTAGCCAAGGACTGAAGTTCAGCCGGTTGTTCTCCACCCAGGCCAATGATTTTTGTATCGCCCAAGTTTCCTGGAACCACTGAAGGCTGTTTCTTGATGGCTTAGTAGCCACTTTTTTATTGGTGGGGAGCTGCACCTGCTGGAAACCGGGTCCACCGTCCCATGTATTATGCTATTATCCTGGTTGCGGTCCTTCGTGCTGTTGAAGGGTCCGGTTGTTTGTGCTATCCGCCAATATGCCTTAATGGACCGCCTCAGGTGAAGTAAGAAGGTGCTTCGGATCTGTCGATTTGCCCACGAATCAGAATAGATACTAGCTAAGCGTCCGCGGTGCGGGCTATGCGCGCAAAAATAAGAAATGTTGTAGGGAACCTGACACAGACCACTCGCATAAACTCAAACAGACTTAAAAAAAAAAAAAATTGAATCACAGGCTAGGCTACGAGAGTGGCCCGGGGTCACTTGCCCGGCCGGGCCAAAAAAAATAAAAAATAAAAAAAATATATAATATTTTTAAACTTTTATTTTTATTTTAAAATTGGTAAAAACTTTCAATGTGACCCTGAGGCAAAAGTTGTTCAGTTTATTTTTTTGCATAACATAGTGTTTTTTTCGGATTTTTTTTTTTTTTTTTTTTTTTTTTTTTTTTTGTTGGGAGACCTTCCACGGGCTGGCCACCCGGAACCCGGGCAGCCCGATTGGTAGCCTAGATCAAAAGGTAATAAAGAATAGCCCAAAATTGGCTACGAAGTTTGAGTTTAACAAACGATTAATTTTTTTTTTTTAATTTTAATTTGATGAAGGATTTTGATGTAATCCCGAGGCAAAAGTTGTTCAGTTTATTTTTTTGCATAACATAGTTTT